TCGCCTCCCAATATCTCGTAGCGCCTTAATTTAAAAATTATTTTTAAAAATTTGCTTGAATTTCCTTCAATTACTAGGATTTTATTTTATTTTTCTTAGCTATCTAGATTTTCTCCTAACGTTTTCTAAAATGATTCATAAACGTTGAGCTTGACAGATTTGCCGGTACGGAGTGGAATTGCTGATCCCGCACGTGACTCGCGAATTTCACACCGCTTCAGCAAAATAAAACTTAAAAAAAAAAAAACCAGAGTGAAATAAAGATTAAAAGTTTTTCCCGTCTGAATTGAGGAATAGTCCGTAGTTGTACTCTTGAATAACATCCACGTTGTTTCACTGCGTATGTTTTCAGGATTCAGATGATTAGAAACGGCATTGGAATATTCTCATTGATGACAACAAATATTTATCGTTACAGATTATTATTAGTAACACAAGGACGACCCGTTATTAAAACACTAATTCATGTTTCTAAACGATCGCAATTGGTAAAATACGATTCAATGTCTCCCAAATTTACTTGTTGGCGTGATTTATTTTATTATATTATTTTTTTTACATAGATTTCAAACAATTTAAGAAATCGGAGAAAATATCTATTTTTTTATCCTTAATTTACTTAATTTTTTTTATGATCATAGCATCAAAGATGTATGTGTAGCATTCTCAATAAGATTTTCTAACGGTCTTTATGGGTAAGGCACTGTTGTCTATGCAACGCTTTTGTAATGAATTTTTTATTGTTTACGTTACAATAGTATTGAGGTCGTCGAAAGGTGGCCCATATTCTCGAATTCTTTTCTATCCTCTTTTAAAAACGAGCTGAAATAATATATTAACTGATAACAGAATATACTTGTTCCCTAATCGGAGGAAATTAAATATATATTTATTATTATTACGGCTGGGCATGACGATTGGCACAGCAAGCGAATTTTCGCGGTATCGGGTCGTACGGTTTAAATAAGTTAAATTAATTAACTTATTTATTTATTAATTTAGTTGTAAAGATTCATTTTTTGATAAAATCGTAACATGAGATATTTTTTATTAATTTAATTAAAATTCTGCCTGATTAAAATTAATTTAATTATATTTATTTCCTTAATTCTGTACCTATTATGTAAAGGAAATCATGTCCATTTTATTCATTAAATAATTTATTGACTTAGAGACAAATTATAATAGTTCAAAATTATGGAACATTGCCTCCCCTGAACAAATGCAAAAATGGACTTACTCTCATATCGGGGTACAGAATTTTATATTCAGTTGAATCCATAAGATTTTTTTTTCGTTAAAATATTACTGTTTTTATTTATTTTTTTTTTATAGAATTTTTTTGAAACATGTTTTTTTTCCACGTTTTGTCATTATTACGTTAAAACAATATATAAATTTTTCAATGATTTCATTCAAATTCTTAATTGTTTGGTTTATTTTAACACTAGTGAAATTAATTCCGTTAAATAAATTAATTAAATTCTTTATCTAATTTTATGTAGTAATAATGTTTTATGGGATCTCCAAACTTTTTGTATTCTTTTTTTCTGTTATTCATTGTTTGTTTATAGTTATTCATCCGCATATATTCATTACTTTAAAGGAATTTATTTAATTAATTTTTATTTAATTGTTTGATGGAGTTTTAAAAGCCAAAAGGAGTTTGGAGGTTGTCGGATTGCAATTTCAAAATAAACTTGTTCTGTGTTCCGGGCGCAGGTATTGTCCTGGAGTCTTCCAGAGCGTTGATCCCTACGTTTTTACCTTTTTGGTTGGCTGCTTCTTCAGCAACTCATTCTTTCAGTTTTTCTTTTGTGCCGGGTTTCAGGCTTCAATTTCGACCTAACATAAACACGAGGAAGGCACAAATAAAATTGCTTTATGCTTTGGAATTAATCATCTCAATATAGCCGTTGTTTAAAAGAGATTTTGCATAACAAAATCGGAACCCTCTTTCGCCATAAAGCAAGTTTATGAAACAGATATAATAAGAAATGATGCAGCAATAATTTTTTCATCATTCCAAGTTTATTTTAATTTTATCTAAAAATAAAATAAAAAATTGTAAGTAACCTCAATTTGCCTGAATTGAGCGGGAGGAAATGCGCTGGTATCATCTGTAAATCTTAATCAGTTCCAATCTACTAAATTCGCCGATGATGCAGCGCTTGAATCACGTGCCATTGTGTTTGTTATGGTCCACTGTTAGTAGTGGAGTTACCGGGTATTTGTTTTACGCAATCGTCTAGGCTGGGCAAGTCAAGGCTTCCTATGGATTCTTTTTCCGGTTTTTAAAGAGTAACAATGATTTTACAATATTGCGATCCTAAATAAATCATTTTTATTTTCTATCTAAGAGAGAAAAGCATATAAATTTGTTGAGGCTTTTAGATTGAGGACTTCAAGGATAACTTGAATAAACCTTTTACTTATTGGTATTATTAAGGTTTCAAAATGAGGAAAAATATTCAGTATAAATTATAATTTAAAAAATAAGAAAAAAATGTGCTAGGATTTACACGGCTTATGTTAACCCACTATTATACAGTATGGTGTGTTTAAGATTAAATTAAATCGAACTTATTTTGTTCCTCGACCTATTGATGGATCAGGTCCCGATTTTATAAGGGAAACTTAGAAGATGCGGTGAGACCTCGTAGCTTGAGGGAACGCTGTCATACTTGCTCACTCGGCTGAAAAGTTTCGAAACATCACTCCTGGCTAGAAGGACTCCATGTCTATCGTATAACCTCAAATCTCAGCGTTGCGATATTTTTCTCGATAATAGCGGTTTTGATTTAAGTGAAATTGACGGATTTCATTATTTGTTTTCGTAAACATCCCATTCCTTTCCCAAAACTTTTATACTATTTTAAATAAAACTGGGAATACCTTGATCATAAACAACTCGAAGAAAAAACAGTTTATGTAAAAATTATTTCAATTGAGTTGTAAGTTTTGAACATTGAAAGTGGTTTTGAAACTTTAAGTACATATCTTTAATTCGGAAATATAATGAAATAATCAGCTTTTTTTTTTAAACTTTATATCTTCACCCATACCTGCCATAAATAAACAAGGACAATTATCGGTTCTTCTGTCTGTAAGAGTACAGTTTGATCGGCTTGCAAATTTTGGAAAATTCGACTCTACCAAGAACAAATCACAATACATTACTTTTACGCTTCGACGTGAAACATGCCCTTCTATTTACCTTGACAATGCCGAAATTCCGCAAATAGATAAAATACAATATCTTGCCTGATCGGCGTGAGGAAGAGGAGTGCCCAGCGGCATCCCTTTCTGTCTTGATTTTAAGCTATTTCTAAGCGATGAAATCCCTGATCCGGCTCCTTTTGGGCCTCATATGTCCGTTTTCGGTTTAATTTTGAGCGTCTTGAGATAAATGAGTATAATAGTCGTTTTTTCTTTTTTTGTTGATATGTGGATGCCATGTCATTCTTCTATCGAATGTCAGTCCAAGATATTGTATTTTATCTGTTTGCGGAATTTCAAGGTAAATAGAAGGGCATGTTTCACGTCGAAGCGTAAAAGTAATGTATTGTGATTTGTTCTTGGTAGAGTCGAATTTTCCAAAATTTGCACCAATGTTTTAGTTCTGTTAGATGATGTTGTAAAGTTTGTGTAATTTATATAACTTGTTAGAATTGCGGTATCGTCTGCATAAGTCGCTATAATAGTTCTGGCGCTGTTAGGAATAATAGTAAATAATCAACTTAAAATGTATAAAATGAGCTCTCATGGTTAGCTCTGACCAAGCCACTTTTTTTGCTGAACCATAAATTTGTAAGGCGTATATCCATATGGGTTTGAATAGGTGCATGTATCTATTTAGTTTCGGTCTAATTTTCAGTTTAGATGTTTTGTATTGTATGCATGTGTTTTTTTTTTTTTGGCTTAGTTTTAAGTTTCTTATTTTTTAGGTTATTTTATTTAATTATCTATTGTATATACTTTTGATTATTATTTTGTTTCTATTTATTTTATTTTTTTGTACATATAGTGTGAATGTCATCCTACCTCACTATGACCAATATCCAAGAGACAGATTGTTATAATACTAAAAAAAAGGATGTTTTGAAAAAAGATAATACAGTAATTTCAGAGTGTTTAAGATTTTTTTTTTCGTTTTGGGGTGTGGTCCCTTGGTCATCCATACGTTGAATGTTAACGTGGTGTGTGGGAACGTACCGTGTCCGATTCAGGAATTTGGTTGTAGCCAATAAAAACTGGTGGACACGTGGACAAGTACTGAGGTTTCACGTTCTGAATTTGTAAAGCCAAGTGGTTTACATACAGATGTATATACATTTAATTATATATAAGTTATGATTCATTCTTTTAGTAATTACCGTTTAAAAAATATCTAGAAACCATATCTTTGTTACGAATTGTCCGATCTTAACGATTTTTTTTTGTAGGAAATTTCATAAACTTATAAAATTATTACCCTTGCTCGTAACTTTTTTTCTAGCTTCTTTTCGTTGAACTATGCTATATAGATAAATTTAAAGGGCATCGAGAAGAAGACTAGCCAAGTTTCATTGAAATCGCTACATTCGTTGAAGCTCTGCAGTCTATAGCAACCTAGGTTTTTCGGTCGATGTCTTGAAAGGAAAAGGCGGTAGGGGTATTGAAAGTAATGTCGATGTAGAGGGATCATCTTCGGTTGACCTCGGACTTTAATTCCAAAACAAAAACATTTTTATTTGATTTTCGAATTCTACTTATCCTGAAACGTAACAACTCAAATTTTGAGGGAGGGGTTAGGTTTTTGAATTTTTTGTTCGATTACAATGGTTGATTATTGAAAATAATAAACCAATTGTTAGCAGATAAAAGTTAACCACGTCAGAGAAGCGCTACCCCGGACGGTACGATATTGGCTATGACATCAGCAACATTAGAATGCAGCAGAGCCGTCCCGTTTAATATAAGATATCCATAGCGATAAGACCCTTTGGGGCTCACAAAAGATGACGACAACCTCCAATCATCCAATATTGTTTCCGTATGTGATGTCCCGCATTCCAATCCGCGTGGGAGCCGTAAGTACTGTTTACCGCGGGCCTGGTCCTGCCTACACTAATTCACAGTTGCAGTCACGGATACCCCTTTATCGAGATGAATCACTAACATCTTCAACAGTTGGATTAAATATATTACATGTGAAGAAGAATTGGACCATTGCACACATGCAGATTTAATGTATATTGTAAGAAAGGGGGCTTCTTTCAAAAGTATAACTATTAATAAGCAACTAACATAAATGAAACTACTATGATTGTGCAAAACAAAATGGAAGTTGTATTTTATTATTTATATTTTTTACTGGTTGATCACCTCAAGTTTATATAATTTGTACTCTCTCCAAAATGAATTTATTAAAATTTCTTAAACCCTGTAGTGGATACCTGCATATTATAGTGGATACCTGAATACTGTAGTGGATACCTGCATCTCTTTTTTTTTTTTAATAATCAAAATCAATAGAAATAATTAAATAATCGTTACTCATTCAGAAATGTAAATAAATCAAGATAAATATATTATCAATTCGTTTGTGTCTTCCTGAAAAATAGTATTCAATAATTAAGGATTAGAATTTCAAAACTACCCAAATCCATTTTTATATTTGTTCACTGAAACTATGAGTTATTGGGTACCGTCATTAGCTGATCCAGGATTTATTTTTGGGGTCTAAGTTTTTTTTTCTTTCTAGTAACCGTAATTAATCTGGATAGAAAAACTTTATGAAATAATAAAAGATCCTTAGAAGCCTTAAAACAATTATTACAGGAACATTAATTAATACTTTTTTTCCGTGACACTTATGTTAGCATTATTATTTAGTTATGTTATGTATTAGCTGTATATGAATTATAATTTAGCTAAGATCGCACGCGAAAACAAATATAGACTAATGAAAAAAAAAATCTATTTTGGCGCTCGAAAGTTTTCCTCCTGCTTGTAGATTCGCCAGGGGGTTCGGTATCACGAATGCACAGCTGATGTCATTTTTACTATTTTAAACCAAATCATTTACGACAAAATTAAATTTACGTGCATCTAGTAACCAGAAACTTTTGTATTTTCTGGTTTTGATAGACGATTGAAATTATTGTGGAATTTCACATTAATATTTGCTACACGTATGTACACATTATTTAAAATCTGCTCATCGAGATTTATTGGAATCGCAAATAGTCGAGAGTGAATGTACCTAAGTAATTGTGTGACGTTACATGAATACAAAGCAATATAAAATGCTATAAACTGAGATGCTGTGCTGCCTTTGATCAATGGCATATTGAATTATATCACACCTGGATTATGTATCATGTATTATATGATCATTTATTTATTTCTATGGGGTCATTTAAACAAACCCTTCCTGTTTGACACTGTAGGTTTCGTTTATTTTCTTTATAGGATTTATAAACTTTGTTGTACATCCGCCTACTTTCTTCTTCAGTTCTACCCACACCATTATCTTCTCGAGTAGACTATACAATCAGCCGTCAATATAGTAAGAATATTAGTACAATTAATTTGTTGCCGATAAGAAATGATCATGTCAGCTATGCATTATTTCTTCAAATGTCTAAATTATGATTGATGTTCGTTGGAGTTGAACATATTTGACAAATAGATGAGAATATTCGTTCATACATTGAACTATAAAGTTGGGATAATAAATAAATGTGCCAGTAGACCCTTGAAACAGGGCAGTGAAGACATGCAGTTGAAGAAGTTGGCTGGATTTATGAGCTGCGCTAACCGCAGAGAGGAAATGTCCTGTGAGGTATACCCTCGTTGGCTCTAATTCATGCGCTACGATTTACCTCTGAACTTTTGACCTTTCAGGCACCGCTGGATCGTTACCTCTTCCGAGGCAGAGCTGCCGCAGTCGACTTCGCTAACGATTCCAATCCTGTCTAGTTTGTCAGACCTCAAACTGTTAGAGATAATGGCAATCCAAACTAGAGCAAGTGCTTCCAAAGACCTTGGAAACCCGAATGGTTTTGAGTTCTCAAATGTGAACTAATTAACTAAAGGAATTATACTTTTATAAATCCTTCGTTCTTCGCTTTTTTTTTTTTTTTTTTTTTTTTGTATATTCAAACTCATTGTGTAAGATCCTCCTGAGTGAATCTAAAATCTTTTGGAGCCCTGGTATGGTCAAATTTTTACTCTCAACCTGTTAGTCCATCCAATGAATGCTCGAAAAAGGTGTATAGAAGGAAATCGTAGGGACACAATTTTTGACTTTGGGATATTGTTTGGACCAGTAAGGAGGTTAACATACTAAACGTCCCCACTCCTAGGTGGTGAGCCAGATAGAGGGAACCTAGAAGTTCAATTTTTTCGGTTTTCCCTTATATCAGAAAAAATATCCATCGCATCTACAAAGACGTTCTATACATAATTAAAGTTGATAAAATTTCCAATAGAATTGATTATATACTTTTTTCCGCTATTTTGTTTATTTTCCGAGATATCCGTCCTCAACCATCGCTAATGTGGAAAAAAAAAAAATTTCACCTCAATAATTTTTCTGTATTTGGTTATTTTACTAACTCTTAGTTGTTTTGTTCTAAGATTAAGTCATGGGGAAGAAAGTGTTTAATAATTCAATTTTCTTGAAGAATATATATTATTTTACCAGTTTATCTTCAGCGGTTCAAAAGTTAGATAAATTATAATTTTATATCTCAATTCCGAAAATTTGCAGAAAAAATTCTCTTGTAAATTCTCGAAATTGAAGCAACCAAGAGTTATTCAATTCTGAAAATTTGCAGAAAAAATTGTCTTGTAAATTCTCGAAATTGAAGCAACCAAGAGTTATTTAGACAAATACAGTTACAATAAATGAGATAAAAACATTTTTTTTTTCACAGTAGCGATATTTGATTACGGATATCTCGGAAACTAAGCGAGATAGCGGAAAAAGGTATTTAATCAACCGTATTCCAAATGTTATCAGCTTTAATTTTTTTAGGACATCTTGTCGATGGGATGGATAGTTTACCTGGTATAAGCTAAAACCCGAAAAAAACTGGCAATTTTTTAGTATGTTTACCTCCTTACTAGACCAAACAATATCCCTAAGTCAAAAATTGTGTGCCCGCCATTTCCTTCTATGATCATTCATTGACTGGACTAGGTGTGCTAGCGGCTTTAATAAGTAACTTCGTTGAGATAGGAGGCTGTGGTAACCTTGTTTCCAACCTTATCCTCGTATACATGGGGCTTGTTTTAAAGGAATTTTATCTGATTAGGTAAGGTTACGGGCGTGGGGTCAACGATTTCAATGAAACATTTTTTGGTGATACTGGGTCGTACATTATTTGACCAATGTTCGAATGTTCTTATGCCAATTTATCCTAGGGACCTAGAGTTTTAAAAATTTAATTTTAATATTTTTTATATTAGTATTTTTTTTTTCTTTGCTGTGCATTGATTTTTAGGTTGTAAGTTAACAATATATCTGCTTTATTTTTTTTTTGTGAGAAATAGGAATAACATATTACAAATTTTATTAAACTAATTCAAACGTATAATAAATTACAAAAACGAAATGATGCTACCAGTAAATAAGGCCAAGTGATTTTTCGTCATGCTATTCAAATTCTTTATTGGCGTCCTTTAAAATACTTAAATAAGAATTAGTTATGAAATAAAAAATATATAAATTTTTAGGCTTGTTTTGAGGGATTTTTTTTTCTTTTCATACAACTTACTAAACCATTAATAACTTCTCAGGATTTTCTCCTATTACATTGTTACTATATCCGCTGGAAAGCTTTGGATTTTACGGCATGAAAAATGGTTTTTTTGTCATCCACTTTTTTTTTTTTTAAATATTGATCATTTAAAAAAAGATTTTTTTTATTAGATTATTATTAGTGCACCTGCACGTCTTACTTTTAACGACATCTAGACCGAAGCATCAGAATATTCATAAGAATAATCATTCAATTAATTAACATTAATTGTATTTGAAATTAGACCTTTGAATACTTGGTATAATTCTTCAGAAAATTTAATGGTCGTCGGTCATACAAATTACTTGTTACCTCGATGCGAAATACCGTTAATTATTGGTAATTACCAGAAATATGTTACTGCCTCGATCAAGAAACCTGATGTCTTAAATAAGTTCTAAAAATAATTAAGAGTAGTCGACATTTAACTTACAATTTACACTGGAAACCAAATCTACTGAACAACATTAAATAATCTATTATTGGTGTTATTAAAGTGTAATGATTAAGAATAAAATACCCAGTGGTTATGAATGAGCCAACACGTTCTTAATATCGAAAATTCAAAATTTATTTAATGTTTTAATTGGAAATAATTAATAAAATATGAATATGTTTTTATTTATATAGATTTATAAGTTTAATAATAGAATTCGGTTCATTATCGGATGTACCTTGACGGTAACTTTGGATGCAGCATGTTAAAACTTTAGTGAGGTACAACAGTGGTCCCCTGCCAAATCTATATTTAGTCGTGATGCTTTAGCTTACGTAAGCGCTCCTCACCAAGCCGTTAAACCGGCCAGTTTCCTTATCACAACTGATAGTCTTTCTTCCGATAAATATTATATATATATATATATATATATATATATATATATATATACACATATGTATTTATTATTATTAATTTTTTAAAGACACGAGACATGAAGATGTACACTTTTTAATATTAAAACTGTTCCATTCAGTATTAATTTAATTTAATTATTTTTATCTAATTTGTTTTTTAAAATATGCTTAAATTAAAATTGATAATTACTGAGTTCTACTCTTAAAAAATATGAAGAATAAACTCCCAAAATTATTTCACCAAAACTCAACAGTAAATAAAATAATTCATCAAATTTTAACTAATTAATAAAATGCAATACAAACTCCTGCAGAAAGTTATTATCATTTTTTTTATAAATTTATTTATTCAGAAGTATAACAATCTGTCACGCGAACAATAATAATAAACACAAGCACACCATGTATACATAAAACATAAAATTAACAAAAGTAAAATAACATCTAAATAATTATAAAAAACTATATACAATAACAAGTAAAATAATTTAAAGATAAGTAAATTAAAAACACAGTTATATGCATACACAGACATTATTCATTAAATTTTAATTTTATTTTCATTTATTATTTTTCCATAATTAAAAAAAATCAAGTTTTCAATTTTGGGCTTTATTCTAAATATCTGTTTATACTTCTTTGCCTTTTGGCCAATATAATTAATATCCACTAATATTTTGATAACTATTTATTATTGGACGTTTCGGGGAATCTTTGTCCCCCCTCTTCAGCCATCTAAAATAATACCATCATTTTATTTATTTCTGTCAAGAATCAGTCATAACTAACTAAAACAATTCGTAATATTTAAAACAATTTTTTGTCTCAATTAATACTACATTATTATTAATTATATTGACCAAAAGGCAAATAAGTGTGATAAAAAAAAATTATTATTTATCCGACATTAAAAATTAAATTATTATAAATTTCGGTGGTTGTAAGAATGTTTTATAGTTTTTTTTGTTTCTTTTTTTAAATAGTTTTTTTACACATTTATTTATATATTGACGATTTTTATTTGTTTATTTTATATTTTATTTTATATATATCAATATATATATATATATATATATATAAATATAAAAGCTAAATTAATTTGTTAATCGTAGAGTTTTCATATCTTTCAAGAACGTGACTATAACTTTGAATATTATACCAACATAGGGGGTAGGGGAAGGAAGAAAGAGGAACTCCTAGGCTCCGGTCGTTGGCTCGTTGAAAAATGGCTTTATGATCAATGCGAGGTATTTGACTTGGGGTACTCCAATTCAAATACCGATTCGAGCTATTGAGTATAAAGCTCACAGAATCGATAGGCTTGGGTTATGCAAGTCCATGTTACGCAAACCCCTCAAATTCCACCAAACGCAAATCAAATCCTGATATTGCAGTATTTCGATGTAACTCCATCTCATCTTCCACCATCAACGGATTCGGGATTAAATTTTGGGGGGAGCTAACTTTTTTCTGTGTTTTATTTTAATAATTGGCTCGAATCACTTACACAAACAAGTATGGGCCAATGAAAAACAAATTATATCTTAAGGGAATCCGCTAGTGCTTTTCGCTTTACATTTGTATTCTGTCCCATTATTACTGCATAGTTCTTTTAGTCATGGATGTTTGATCTTTGTTCAAAATAATTTAATGTGTATTTTTCTCGTTTTTTAAATTAGTTAATTTGAATTTTATATCCTTACATATATGTGATTTCAGTTGCATTTTACTCTTTATATATAGTCCCTTTGTTGGTTCTACAGCTTAGTTCCTAATGAAAGTTAAAAAAAAAAAAAAACAGTTCCACGCGTTATTTGGTCATTTTCTCTTCCAATCTCACGTAAAAAAAAAAAAAAAAAATGAACTTTTTATCTTTCATTCTTCGATCACTTCTGGAATAGACCATACCTCTCAACTATAATATTTATTCCACTTTCTGATGAACTATGTTTTATGTAAAATTCATTATTATTTTCGGCACCACTTTTTAAAATAGTTTATTTCTTTAGAATTTAAGTTTCTATTCTTTAACAAATGGAGGCTTGAGACTCATTATTCTACCAGTCTGTAGTTGTAGTCGCTTCGTTATGTTGAAGATATTTTGTTGTAGGATACAAATTATTTTTTCATTTCATTTGTTAGCCTTTAAGAGTAAAAGCAACTTCTGTTTTATCAGCCATGTTGGACTATGGAACCGAATGGTCGGAGGAGCAATTTGTACCATATTTTTGGAGTGAAAACTTTTTAGGCGCGTTTTGCACTTATTCTGTTGAGAGTGAATTAGATCGAGCCTTCAGATCTCCGATGTGTAACATTGGGTAA